CCACATTGTAAATTTTACATCAAAAGTTACCGGAAATTAAATTTTAACACATTGAGAAATTTAGAGATACTACAGCAATCCTTATTTCAAAAGAGAAGGAAGAAATTAAACTGCATGCATACCGAAACATTGGTTAACAAAAGTTGTAAAGCTTTAATGGAAATAAAAAGTTACAGCATCTTCAAATAATATTGTTGTCGCAGAAAACTTTATTCTTAAATGTCAACTCAAAACTAGTTTTTCTTATTGTCCTGGCAGATCAGAAAACTAAAACCGGTTAATAACATTTTTTCCTCTGTCATTTTGGCGAAACCATACTTTTCAGCAAGATAAAACTTTTTAACATGAAGAGTTATTGCTTATAGTTAGCAGAGTGAACTCCTTCACTGCGAGCCACAATTAAGCTTTTATGTTCTGTTCCTTTTGCTGTGAAGTTGGTAGTCCAGCAACTGGGATTGGGTTCGTTATAGTTCATGTGTGGGCTCAGTCTGGAGTAAGTGCTTGCAGATGATGAGAACTTGGCACTGGTTAACTGATACCTTGCCAGTTTTATATGTCCTCTTAGGAGAATGCATGTTTCTGTTTCAGCAGTGTATTTCAGCATTTATTGAAGAATCTGTAATTCCCATTGCTGGCTGAGAGGAGGCTGCTGGGGTTGTTTCTTGGGGTTGTTCCTACGTGCTAATGGCAGAGTTTCTTGTAGGCTTCCTTTGTATGTAATTTTGGATCTGGAAGTATGTGATTGTTGGTGATTTTTTTTTTTTTTTTGGTCAAGGCTAAGTCCTGTGTGTAATTTTAGCTATTAACTATCACAGTGATTTCCTGAAGATAGGAAAACTTTTCCATATACAGAAGAACATACACGCAATAAGCTTTGTACAAGCCCAAGCAGTGTTATCAGTGAATTGCCATTTTGTTGGGAAAATAATTTTTATTCTTTAGACTAGAGTGGGCTTCATATCAGTTTCTGTGGTTGTGGTATGCTTTGTGCTATCTGTGTCAACCACTGGCACAAATCCTCCTAAATAATACATAACTATGTAACTCTTACAAAATATATCCCTTGTATATAAATTTACAGATTTATTTTTTTTTTTAAAAGCAGAGTATTTCAAGATTACCAAAGTGATAAAGTGCTTGCGCTGCTGTAGCTGTGCTAAGTTTTCTGCTTTAAACACAAACAGAAATTGATATTACTATAGCAACACTACGATGCTATTGATGTGTAATTTGCAGAAGCTATTTTAAATATTTACTGCACATATTTCCGAGTAGATGAGAGAAAACCTTTTGTTTTGACTATCTGTGCTGCCCCAGCTGGTGTATTGCCTAGGCTTTGGATCCGACAGCACAGAGTAGAAAACACGGATCCTGTTAATGGTAGAACTCGCATAAACTTTCTGTTTCTCTGCACGTACCAGCTTTTTCCCATGAAAAGTCTTTTTGTAGATCCAGTTTAGATGGATCTCTTGCAGGTAACCGAACCACCCACAACAACAGTAATCATCTGGAAATCCTGGATGTGAGCATGTGTAGATCAGCTCTGGAATACATTCAGCACGTGTGAGAGGTGCTGGATCAACAGTATTTGTGCTGGATCAGGGATGTGCTGTTGCAATAGGAAGCTGGAAGCTGGGGCTTCCCCCTCCGCATGAGCAACATCTGCTCTTTTGCAGATGTTTGTTAACGTGTGTTAAGACTGTTAATATGTGTATATATGGCATTAAATTTGCACAATGCATATATGTTGGTGCACTCTGTTCCCAAGTTGTACTTGGGAAAGAGAGATGGTAAGAGTAAGCTGTTTGGCCTCAATCTGACATCCATCTTTCCCAGCATTCTCCAGTGTGTAGAGCTACCTTCTGGGCAAATAACTCCAGCAGAAGCGAGCTCTTTTTGGTCACTGCCCTTCCTCTTTGGGGGAATGTACATCATCCCGTAAAGGGCCACAGAAGAAGGTCCTGTAAGAAGTGTAGGTTGGATGCTTGAAGACAAGCTCTGGACTGGGTGATTACATGGGCAAGTAACAAGTGATATGTCAAATACAGCTTGAGGGCTCCCATGCTGCACACTTGACCTGTGCATAAGTGGTAAATCCGGCTTGTTAAGGCTGTGGCACACTTCTTGTGGTTGTGCAGATGCACCTACTGCTCGTGTACGTGGCAGGGTTAAGGGCTTTGCAGGCAGAGTTACGATAACCCTTGTCAATGGTCACTCGTTTCTCAGTTGTTCCGACAGATTCTTCCTTTGCTGCTGCTGGGCATCAGAAGGCTTCTGGCTTTTAAGGTGTTGATGTGAACTGCGGGTGTCAAAAAAGGTGTAACTAATCATTATGCTTTTGTATGTAAACTTATGCCTGTCTGAGCTGCTGCAGGCTGTTTTTTGTGGATATCATTGTTTGGATCTACAGCATCTGTGCTTTTCCTCTCCTCAGGTCATTTGGTGTGTGCTGTCAACCCTGTGCAGGTGTTTTATTCTGTCTTCCTGCTGTAGCCATCTCATTTCCCGTGACGTAAATGTTCTACGGAATTCCCATTTAAAAAATTTGATTTGTGTTGTCCCCTTTGCAGAAATGATGCTCCTTGAAGGCTGCAGATTTTTGTAGATCTTTACATACAAGTCAGCTGCAGCAGTGAGCAAACTACAGTAACTGCTGACGTGTACTTGGATTTCCTCACGTACTCAGCAAGGCTCTAGATGCTTTTTGTTACTCCATGTCAGGTGGATAATTGTGCGTAGCTTTTAGGATCGCTTTCTGAGAAAACAGATATTTGAACACTTTCTCTAGCTGACAGATGTTTCAGTATGCGGGCTTTGCATATTTTTATTCAGATAGTTCAAAGTGTCTACGTTATCATTGCAAAACCCTCCAGACAAGATCTGAAAAGGAAACGGAGCCTCACAGAGGTTCACATCAGCTTCACGAGGATAAACGCGAGCACCAGAACCAAGACAATAAGCAGAAAATTGAGTAGCAGGTTGAGGCCTCTGTTGTTTGCAAGATCCATAACGTGGCTCCCTCTGTTGTGCTCGCAGCAGACTATTGATTGTAGCTTTAGGTTGCTCCTTGAGTAGTGAGCAGTATAGACTCACATGAGTTTCAGTGTGTCCTCAGCTGTTTACCTGTTTTTAGTTTCTGCCAGTTGAGAAAAAAAATGTTTGTTTACAATAACTAGATTCTTTAGTTTTCCCAGAAAAGGGATCTGGGCGCTCCTACAAGTGTTTTTTCCCAAATACCTTAAAAATAAATTAAAAAAAAAAAAATTAAAGTTAATGATAGCTTGCTTTACTACTGAAGAACTAACTGGGTAATGGAGAGATGACTTGAATTTTATACGCTTTGTCTCTTTATTTATTTACTCTTTAAAATGTGTGCAGTACTCTTCAGGCCCGTTTTATTTTTCAAAAGAATGGCTTTTGGCAAGACTTGCTCTGTTTCAGCCAACAAAAATCTGTTTCAGGTTTCTGAAACCTTACTTCTTTTAAAAGGCAGACAATCTCTGTAGGTGCAAAATCCCCAACTTTCTCCTGTGGGCAAAATGCACCCCTGTTCCCCAGGAGTGTTTCCTGCTTCTCTAGGGTCTGGCCCCGTGCGGGGCGGTGGGTCGCGGTTTGCCAGCGGTGAGCCCGGTGGGATTCACTACAGCTTTGCAAATGCCTTATTAAGAATCTAAACTGGGCTGGCAGAGGTTGCATCCTCGGTGCTTTTAATAGCACATACGCAATAGCTTATTTTAAGATAGTATTAATAACTTAGCAATTGTGTTTTATATATAGAAATATACATATAAAATAAATACATAGGACCACTCAGCCCTAACAGTGAAATTTTGCTAAAACTAATTCTTAATATCTGGCTAAGTTTTTAGGGTAGATCACAAGAGGGCAGTGTTTTATAGCTTTGTTCTTATAGCATTTTTGTACAGAAATGGCGCTTCTGGCATTATTTTATCAAAAAAAAATATAATGGGCTTATAAAATAATCAGTTTCACTAAACTAACTGTCAGATATTAAGATATTACAATAAATCTAGGGCTTGTTTTAAATAATTTAAATTACCAGGGTTCTTCCTGAGACGAGCATCAGTTTCTAAAGGAATCCTTAGAAATATATTTTGTTTTTAATCCTTGCAATGAGCAAGAGGTATTCATTCATGTCCTTCTGTAACTAAAACAGGTTGGTTGGTTTGTTTGTTTTTCAGTTTCTAACATCTAGGTCAAAGCTAAAAGGACTACATTTGTTGTTAAATAAGAGATGTCTGTGGATCTTGTAGGACTTCACAAACATTTTCTAATTATATTCTGACAGGCAATATTTATTAATAACCATACAAATACAGGTATCTGGTCTGTAATCTGTCATATATTAGTATGCTTCCAGATATGAACGAGAATACTCTCAAAATGAATGTGTTCGTTACTGTGCTATAATTTTGGCAGAGGGGATATGGGCAAAGTACCACTCAGCATGAGTGTGTAAGGCTGACATGATTATTGTTCTGTGTATAATTGTAGCAAAACTTACACAGAAGTTCTTTATGCTGGGGACAAATGTTTTGTGAAAAAATTTGCTTAAGCCTATTTTATACTTGGTAAGGGCAGTTGTTGCTAAATTCAGGCAGAAAAGTTAATAAAGAAATTCAAGGAGCTGCAGCCCTCTGAAGTGCCCTACTGACTAGTCTTGATCAGAATAAAATCTCAATTCTGAAATGGGTCATAGCTTCACCTACAAGAAAATGGGTAGATGTATCAATTTTTGCTGAGGGCAAACATCTTTATAACCATCATATTCTTGTTCCCGATTCAGCTCTTTCCCACTGTAAAATTGCCATGGAAGATTTTTTTGTTGTTGCTGTTTGGTTTTTTGGGGTTTTTTTTTGATAAAGAGTAATACCAGATTGCTGCCTGATACACTATGTGTGTGTGTAATATGAATTTAGCAAAAAGACGTAGCCTTGGGTGGAGTGGAAGAGAGAAATGAAAACTTAATCCAAGCTACATGCTGTGTTTGGAATTTTTATTATGGCTCATAAAAATAGTGAACTTTTGTATTACATTGTCACAAAATTCATTAGGGTAGTTTATGTGCACTAATTGGTGAGCGTAAATTAAATATGTGTAGGTGATCTGGACGTCACAAAATAGGCAAGATTACTGTTGAAAACCAAACCAGAATAAACAGAGGTATAAAGAATTAGAAATCTACATGATGCCTAACTGTTTTTCACATAACTTTAGTAAGTGGATGATAGAATGGAGGCTTTTTTCTGAATGGAATTGTATTTAACTATCTTATATTATACATTAATATATTTTCAAGCAGTCATTTTAATAAATAAAAATACAGTAGTTGTTAGTATGAAAGCCCATACAAGTATACAAAGAAGATTGTACTATATACAAAAGATTTTATTTTTTTTAATCTCTGGGTTCAGTTGACATTTAGTGATATAGAGGACGGTAGCAGTTTTTCAGATCAGCTAAGACACAGAAGACCCATACAGTACATGCAATTTATCTGCATTGCTGTAAAATAACAGTAGGACTCCCAGTTTATTTATAGTTTATACTTTGGTTTTGCTCTTGTTTATTCATTGTTTTTAAATAAATAATGGCCTTTCAAGTACATAAGAGGAAACTGGTGGGTTTGTTTATATGAGGGGGGTAGGGGTCTAATTTTTTTAGCAATGCTTTACTTCTACATATTACTGGCTTGTGAAACTTGCAATCCCAATGCATCCTCAGGATGTTTGTGCTGATATTTTACTCTTAAAACCTTTTTTCTTCAGTAAATTTTCAGTACTGTAAAACTGTTGTCTATTTCCAATTGAAGTATCATGAAACACCTCCGAAGCAAACTAAAGCTGGAAACCCTATTCATCACAAAAATACAGATTTCAAAAGAAAAGTAATTTTAGATTTTTCTATTTCCATCTCTCTCCCCCACTCCCCCAAAGTGCACAATGTTTGTGGCTTTTCTTAAGAAGAAATAGTAATAAAAAAAGTGCGCTTACTAAAATCTCATGCATTTGTTACAGTGGTCAGAAAGCATGAAATGTCAATGTAAATCTCATTTCCATTTTGAATCAGTAGTATTCATACGCTAACTTGTGAGTGGGGGGCTGTGTTGCCAGTCTCATCAGCTTGCCCTAATCTTCATATAGTAGATAATACCTTCTAGTGATTAACCTCAGTTCAGAGGTCTGGTCTCCTTGTATCTGTTTGCCAGATAGGAAGTGGATCACCACTGCACTTGCTTTCTTTCCATCAAATACACAGTTTTTCCAAAAGTTTCTTCTATTTCTTCTCAGCTGTTCATTGTCAACCTTTACTCATTGAATACTAAGTCTTAAAGGCAGAATACAAGATCAAAATAAACTTGTTTTGATATTCTATATTCAGCAGTAGGGTTGCTGACATAGGGTGGTATAAAAAGATATCTGTTTAAAAAAAATAATAAATATCTGTTTGACCTTTGTCTACTGATTCTTGAGCTTTCTTTAAATTTGAAAACCATATAAGATTTCTAGGAATTCAGCTTAATACCAGCAACACATGGGAGGGTTGGAAATCTACTGCTCAGTCTTGTCACTGACAACTGCTGGAGTAGAAACTTCATCTTTTACATGTATAGACTGTGCTGTACATGCTGGAAAGATATTTCTGCGATGCATTCCCTCCTGTGCATAACTGTTCATTATTTATTTTATTTTTTATATATTATTTATTTTAGGAAAACGCTTGTTCTCTAACAGGCATTTGCAGTCGAAGGTGGTGGTGGTACTTATATTTGTATAATACATTTCAATCGTGACAGTAAGGGAGACCTGAACTTTTCTATTTACCACATCAGAGGTAAACTACATTGAGTGATATGGGCAAATACCAAGTTTTCTGCAGTTTTAAACTAAGGAGATTATTGCATAAATTATGTCAGGCAACAATAAAGTTGTCTGAAGCTTGGCCAATAATACGAACTTGGAGAACGTTTTTTGATTGTTGAGTTGTGTGAATTGTAATGCCAGTTAAATGACTATAGAAAATTAAATCTTTGTGTCATGCTTTGGACTGGGCTGACCACTGAACGAATGACAGATGCTCTCTTTAAATACCAGTGTGATAGTGTCAATTTTTCTGCAAAACATAGTGAAAAAACTTCCCAGATGTCATTTAGTTCTTACTTAGTAAGGATGCATCTAATGAGAAATGCTGAAAATGAAGTCGCCTCTTTTCTTTCAGATCTAAGTTGTGTGTGTGTGTGTATATATATATACACACGTGTATATGTATGTATATACATACATATATGTGTGTGTGTATGTATATAAGATCCCTTAAACAGGGAGAAAAATATATGAAATAGTATTTATTTTGGGGTTAGAAGACATTTTTGGTTTATTCTCGTATTCTCTTAAAAACAATTTGAATGCCTTCAGAGATGCAGCACCTTGAAGTAAGCAGAGCAGAAATTTTCCTAGGATGCATTGAGGGCTGTGCCTGTAGCTCTTCTTTGGATGGACGTGGGCTGAATTTAGAACCCCCCCAAGGGCTTAAGGATTTTCAGAGAAATTTAAAAACTCTCAGGCCCCAAAAAGTGAAGTTGCTGTTTGTGCGAGCTAGCTAAAACATTGAGGAACTTACCAACTCCATTAAGAGGCAGTACTTTACCCCATTCAGAAAAGACATCTCTTGACCGAGACAGACAAATTAGGTCATGCACAGCTTTGTAACAACAGGCTCTAAACACTGTTCTGCACAGAAGTGTGGTTTTAATACATGTAGCAGGTAGAAAGAGAGTAGTGCGATGGTTGGCGTACAGCTCTAGTCCAAGTGCTAGCCCCTCTCACCAGAGGATCCTTGCATTGGGAGTTGCGGGTGTAGGTCTCTCTTCCCTTTCGGGTGACTTTCCTAGAGGACAGCGCAGAGAAGTGCTGGAACTTCAGAGGAGCATCACAATGATACAGATCAGCAAGAGGCAAATTAAAATCAGGCAGAAATTCACAAAGAGCTCTTGGAGCCTTTGGCGTGCTTGTGGGTTGACCTCAATAGTTGAGGCTCTCCTCAGAGCAGAGCGGGTTATGTATTGGACCTTCTCCATGGCAACGAGAAAGCAGAGGGCACAAATCAGAGGTTTTAGGAGTGCAGGAAAGAAGAAGAGTTGTCAGGAACAGTGCAAAGTGCCTATTATCTTCTCTTTTTGTTTTAGACAGCCTTTGTGGAGCTGGGAAAGCAGGAAAGTGAAGAGTTAGAAATGCCGAAGTAATGAGTTTTGATGAGTGCAAATGAAGATTGTTTTAAGGTTCTAAAAAGCCTGAAGTAAATAAGTTGCTTTTACTTTAAAACAGGATTTGTGCTGTATTGTGCTTTTCCTCCTGAAGGCTACTGAGTACCTGTTTTGTAGCAGTGGTGAGGAATTGTGGATATGTGGGATTTATTCAGGTCATTGTTTTAGATCCTAATCTCTCTATCCTTCACAGTTGGTGGAAAGGCCATGAATGATTTCCCTCTCACCCCTGCTTTAATTGTTCAAGCACACATGAAAGCCTGATGATATGGCTCGAGTCACAGACCTTTCAGCCAGGAGATCTGGAGATTACTGCTGGCTGTTAGTGACCCAGGCAGATAACCTGATTTAGTAGTACCTTATTTTGGAAGGGAGGAAAAGAAATCTTGTTGGAGCATTTCTATTCCAAGTAAAAATACTTTAAAGTGCGTAATTAAAAGCTGTGCATCACTGCTATAGAGGATTTTAGTAGTCAACAGACAAAACTGAAAAAGGAATAAAACTTTTTATGTATACATGTGGGACCATGTGTTATAAAATGTAGGTGCGAAGACAGAGGACTGCTATGAGGAACAAAATAAACCATGTATGTGACTCCCTCTCTAAAGTGAGTATGTTATTTCAAGTATATTTTCCCTGTCTTTATTGTCAGATGGAAGCACAGGGTGACAATTGTCTTAAAGCTCCCAATAAGTAGTTGTGGTGTAAAACCCTTCTGTATGAACCTTCCACGGGAAGAGGCTGGCTTTGATGGATGCTTGCTTAGCGCATAGTGAGGGGGATTCTGTAGGTGTTGCTGCAATGTGAAAAATTGGTTTTCAAGATGATGATGATATATACATCTCTCAAACTTTTCTCCTAAAGCTGCATTTGCCAGTAAATGTTTTATGAATGTGTGTCTCATGATATCTTTGACAGAAGGCCTTTCCTTATCATCTCTTTGCCTTTTTTTTTTCCCAAGAAATTAAATTCTTGTCTACTCGTATATGCCACATAAAGGAAAACCATTGCTTCGATATCTACTACCTAAATTATATGATGATCGCAGCTGAATCAGAGATATTTTGTTGTCCATGAATTTGCCTTTAGATGGGTTAAAATGGAGATCCTCGAAATGAAACAGAAGTGTCTTTCAGACTCTTCTTTTTTAGTCCCTCCATGTGGGGCTGTAGATTCAAATAGTGCTGTATGAGCAGAATACATGTGCTTTCAGTGGCCGTGTTGGTATTCAAAAAGAGACTTTTAAAAGAAACCAGATTACACATGGATATTTTAATGCCTTTAGGTGATTCCATGTGCTGACATCTCCTCCGAAAACCGAATTTCAGATTTTGTTATGATGTTTTTAGCTATAGTTGATCTTAACTTTATTGCGAACAAAACACACACCAGGAATTTACTTTCATAGCGACCGTAATTTTTCAGCTTTGTTTGACTTTATGCTGTACCTGTTTTTATCTATTTAAGCAGTTAAAGTGCTTGCCAAGTATATTCTGCTTAGCTCTTTGCTGGTTGCTGTCTGTCCCAAGTGCAGTAAAAGCAAGACACCACAGGAATTCTCAAGTGCTTGGCTGATGGCACGTTCGTTCTCCCAGCCCAGTATGGGCCGGGGTGCATTAGGCTGTTTATCCTCTTGTAGGCAGTAGGTGAGCCACTGACAGATTTACACTAGTACAGAGAAGCCTGTGTAACTAGTGTGTGTGATGGACACTGCCCAGAGAACAGTATTTCCTGAGAATGACTTCATCACCACTCCCTATGTCTATCTGTAATGCAGGGTGCCTGCAACCGGTGGGCTTTGGGTTGTGCAGCAACAGATTTGTCTTCTTCCTGGCTGCCTAGGAGGGCTGGGGCAGCACGAGTTTTTACCTGTGTAGGTGCACAATAATTCCATTGTGTGTACAGCATTAGATCTACCGCACGTACGTGAGCAGCTGCACTGCTGTGCTGCTGCATAGCTTTCAATTGCATGGCTTGAGGGGCAGGACCTGGGGCTCTGAAGTGCTTCTGAAAAAGGCAACATTAGCTGGTTGGGCATCTTAAATGCAAGGTCAGCACAGGTGAGGAGGGATGGTGAGATCTCTTGGGAAGGGAAAAAAAAATAATATTCTTCCCTTTGAAATGGATGAGGGATGTTTCTGAGGGAGAAGGCAGTAGGTCAGAAGGCTCAGTCGAGCCTGTCACACTGTCGTTAGCTGTTTGAACATACATTACCAGGCAGCCGATAAGAACGGATACTTTAACAAGGAAGATAGTGTAAGTTAAAATGTATAACTTGTATGGCTAGAAAATGATGTAGAGAAGGGATCAGGAAAGGTCAAAATAGAGTAACCTGGTTTTCTTGATTTAAAAGCTCATACAGAATTGGAAATTTTAAAAACACTTACACATTGTTTTATCTACTAAGCCTGTCTGTGCAAGAACCTTATAAGCAAAGGAAGCAAATCCTGTGTCTGTATTTCAACAAGTTTTTCTTTACAAGTGCATGACTTCAACTAATGAACACATACCTTGCTTGTTAATCCTCCATGGCGCTGTCACCCACCTAAAGTGTGCACAAAGAGAAACAGGATTCAGTGACACAGCTGCGTATGGGTGGCTGGCAAGGTCAAAATGGACAGCCTGAAAAATAATTACACTGAAGTGAGGGCTGATCATTGCCACAAATAGTAGCTGTTCTCTGCTGTTTAGACCCCTGACTGTGTTTTAGGTCAGTATTAAGAAGTATTATGCATGCACACACCACTTCTTGAAAGGGAAGTGCAACAAAAGGGCAAGGTATAGTTGATTATTTTTTAAAAAACCAGTGTTGCACTCATGTGTGACAAGACCAAGTATTGCACAAGAGAAGCTGCTGGCTGCATTGCTTTAGTCGTGTGTTCAATCCAGTGCTGTTCATGGCTGTGAAAGGCTTGTCTTAAGCACAGCGCGGGTCCGCAGGAAGCGTTCACGTGGGTGACCCATACGTTAGTTACTGTATAGGGGGTCCCTTATACCTGGTGCCCTAAAATGAGTTTCCGATCACAATTATTGCTTCTTTCTCCACTGACATATGACAGTTGCCCTGATTTGTGTTAGGTTATTTTTATCTTTGTTCCTGGGTGTCCTTCACAATGAGAGGAGGTGTGTGACCAAAGTGAAAACTGTGGGCCACGCTCGTTCCTGGTGCAACTGCATTGACTCCATTGAAGTCACACGGGATAAATTTGGCTCCTTTGGAAATGCCACAGCAATTTTAGACACAGCCTGTTTCCTGTCATATGTTTACTAAATGCAGCAGTGATATCAGTGGAATAGAAGAGGTTTGACATAGTTGATTTGTTGCTCTCCCATACAACCAAGTGAAGCCCTGAAAAGGCATTGTTAAAAAGTAATATTGCATAACAGTCTATTGCACAGATTTTTATGAGATGCCCCCAAAACCTAGTAATTCATTTTCATCCATTGAAAAGAAATGTCTTAATAACCATAAGCACAGTGATGCAAAGAGTACCATCAAGTTATGTGATCCTTGGTCTAGTATGTGTTTAGAACTGTTACCAAAAATGACCTGGCCTAAGAAATTCCTGTAGCTATTTGTGTGAGCACTGTGACACTCCTGGGCAGGAAGAGGCATTCTCTGCATGTTCAGAGGAGGTAAGTGTAAAGATTTGTGCGTGTAGTGTCAAAGCAAAAAAGAACCCTGCGTGCAGGACTAAACGCTGTGAGTTAAATTGAACCTGGAGCTCTTTGTTGCCATTGTCTGTGGATTCTGTGGCCCCCATAGGAGAAGACATTGCAGATTTCTAAAGCTGTGCCCTGAGCACAGCAGCTGCAATTGATATGTAGGCATGCTTGGCTGTCTTGTGTTAATGTATATATCTTATTCCAAGTTGCATTGCTTTTTTTTGAACCCTGCTGTAAAATACCTCCTTATTGGCAGTGTGGAGTCACAGCAGTTGAGACCTCCGAGTCTGAAAATCCTCCTTTTTCATATGAGGAAGATGAGGGGTGAGAAGGGAGCGAAGAAGGAAGCAGTCTGAATTAACTCTAGAAACCTCTAGAGGGTCTCACTGCTGCCAATGTAGTTCAGTAAGTAAAAGTTTCCAACGATGAAACCAAACTTGCTTACAGATTTTCAAGCATAGAAGTGATTTATGAAGGTATGTCATAATTTTTAATTTTTGTTCTTTTTTAAAACAAAGACTTACTAGGAGTTACTCCAGCAGCTGGATTTTGTGTCTACCTGTGCTGGGGGTGCAGAATTCTGTTGCTTATTCTGATTTTAGGCTGTGAGTTGCACTAGGTAGTTGTATCAGTGAAGAAGGGTATTACGGGTATTAGCCAAGTGCAGGAGAGGACAGATTGAGGGAGGAAAGTAGAAAAAGAAAATGAACAGAGGAAGAGAAGGGGGAGTGTGGAAAAAGAGCAAGGAATTGTGCAAGGGGAAAGAGAAAACTGCAGCTGGAATACATTGTCATGCAAGAGAGCTAGAGACTGACTTGTGGCATATAATGTCTTTTTTCAGTCACATGCAGAAGACATTTCCTTCGGATGGGGGAAGAAGCAACATATCAGTTCTCAGAGTAAGAAACGCTGGTAACAGGAAAAGCAAACTCTTTTTATCCTGTTTTTTACTGAAGTGTTAATATTTTTCATGTGTTTGAGAGAGGATAGGGGAAGGTTCACACTTTAATTTAGATTCTTTTTTTCCTCCCTCTCTTATTAACTCATTCCTCTTACGGTCTTCCTTTTGATTAGCTTTGATGTTCTCAGTGTTTTAGAAGCAAGATGGCCAGTAAGAGCCTTTACCTGGATTTCAAATCTATGAGAATGTGACAGGTGTAGATGCAAAGAAATTAACACTGATGAATAGTTAAACACGCCCGATTTGGCATTTTGTTCCTTGGAAGTTATCCATGTACCTTGTGAGTAACTGGGACTTCAATCTGTGTGTTGGCCCATTAGAGTAGCCTGGGAGCTCATGCTTTGGGCAAGTTTGGAACTCTGGAGCATGCAGTGGGGCCTGGGGCAGGTGCTTCAGCCTCTGTCCTCATATTTTCCCCTTATCAAAACAAGGCATATAATAACCGTGTACTTTCTCCCATCTGTTGGTATGATTGGCCTTTTATGTAGTAACTTTATTTTAGGAAATTCACTTCTTCCTCCAGTGCATGCACTGAGTACCTAACACCTTGTAGTTTCAAGTGGGGTTTTAGGTTCTGGTGGTTCATATGACACTGCTTATTAATAGGAAATGGGGTAAGTTCAATTTGAACTCAAGTAAAAATTGAAATACATCTGGTATATATAAAAGGTAGGAGTAGAAGGGGATGTTGCAAGTTATGTTTTTAAGCTTTTTAGCAGCTCAGGGCACAATGATATGGCATTCTTTAAGAATATAGGAGATATATTCAGCTTCTGAGAAGTAACTTGATGCCAGGAAAGTCCTCTTAAGCCACGTATCAATCTCTAGAAAGCAAAAGCAATCTTCCAGTTCTAACGTGTTTTGTAGTCTAGGGAACATAATATTACTTTCTTGTGGGATTTTTTTTGTTTCTCCAGTTGGGGTACTTTTCTGTTCCTAAATCAAATTATTCTTAAAGCAAATGTAAAGCTGCTCTTGTAACTGTGTAGGTGTATCCCGTATGTTTTTGTTTGCTGATAGTCTGAAAAAAATCAGTGAAAATCACCTTTATGCAAACTGATTACAAACAAAGTGAGTTTCATATTGTACAATGAAGACACTGTATTCCTAACTTCTTCAGAGGATGAGAAATAAATACAACTTTTTCAAACAGAAGTATGGTATATACATAAATCTGAATCTCTCTAAATACAAATAGCGTAGTTGTCTTGACAAATGGGTGGTAAAAAAAGAAGCAGAAAATTGTTATTTGCTGTAAATTAAATGCAGTCTTTCGCATCTGTAACATTTATCACCTGCTGTGTAGTACATGCTTCTGTCATGGGTGTTGGCTGTTGTTACTCGGGGTTTGGATGTCTGTGACATGGGATGTTATCGGTGTGAAATTTTTAGGTTTAACTTAACAGCTGAACCACACTGTCATCTACTTGCAATCACCTAACTCTGTGACGGGATAGAATTAAGATGAACAGACGTCCAACCTGCTGTAGCTATGGATGCGTTCCAGTAAAGAGCTGCCTCCAGAAGTTAAGTTTCTATGTGTATGTTCAATTTATGTGTGTATGTGCATAAACTCTGTATGTTTAAAGGTACATGTATGCAGTGTATGTGTTAGGAGAGAAAGATTTTCTGTGTGGTAAAATAAACCCAAACTCCCGTCTTCACTTGAAACTACATTTTATATTTCTTTAGCCTTGGAAAAAAATAAAAATCTGTCTCAGAATCTTCTTGCTCGTTGTAGGCATTGGTTTGAAGGCACTGGGAGATCCTGAGTGCTGCTTCTGCCTACTGGGAACAGCGTTTAGAGAACTTCTTAACAGGTTGTTTGCCTTAGGAGTAACAGGGCGTCCAGACACTTCCACTACTTGTCTATTCCAGAGTGGCACAAGGCTGCTGAGCACAAAACTGAGCATATATTTTCATCTGATGCATACCAGTCAGTAATAGGAAAAGGAATTAGGTGTGTCTGTTCTGTAACAGGGAAAACATGCCTCACAAAATTAAGGTCTGTATTGTCTGTCTGTTCTAAAACCAGAACCTTAAGTAGATATAAGTAGTAAGGTGTGAATCGGTGGAAGAGGAGAATGTGTATGTAAGAAGGAGAAATTCCTCAGACCTACATATTCATGAATCATAGTAATTTTAAAAATATTCGTATGTCTAAATATTAAAATAGTAAAATGTCCTTTATGTGACATGTTTCTGTTTAAGATGCACTCTTTTTTTGTTTGCAGTGATTTTTAAAGCTGAGGTTGTGTTTTGTTTCACAGTGTGTATGCACTTCCCTTAGTTGGAAATAAATTGATTACTTTCTGCATTCAAAATTCAGTTAGTGATGTTACAAATCCTAGCTAAATTATTTATCTGTTATTAGAAGCGTTCTAGGACAAGTTTGGCAGTTGCAGTGACTGGCTAGAGAAAATAAACCCTTAAAGGAATTCACAGCAAAAATACTATATGAATTCTGTAGCCTGAGGTGCAGTTTGAGTAACATAATTTCAGTTCTAATACTTCTATAAACCACTTAAGTTTTTAATTAAAGATACTTTTTCATCGTAGAGCAAAAAAAAAGGTTTGCTCTCTCACTGTGTTAGATCAGAAAAATGCTTTTCTGAGTTAAATGGTGAAAGAGCTTTACTTTTGCTGGGCTGTGGATAGGCAGCTTTGGGGAAACAACAGTGTCTACAAAACTTAAAGTTAATTACTCTCTTTGGATTTTGTATTAAAAAAAACAAAAACCAAATACTAAATTTGAAAGGAGAGACAAAGGTCTGAGGAAAATGATGAAAGCTTCTCACCTTCTGGTGTAATGCTACCTGTATAAATCATCCTACCCAAGGACAACTGGTGTCCCACCAGTGTGTAGAAAAATCTCAGTTGCCTTTATTGTCCCTAAAGTACATCCCCCCCAGCATTATATTTTTGACACAGAGCTGTAATGCCTACATTTCCATATTTTTTTATAAACAATAATAACCAGCTGTTAATTTGAGTAGAGGAGTTTTTGTAGAAAACTACCCCTGGAGTGCTTTGCTGTAAGAATTAAAAGCGTAAAAGAAGAGAGGTCCCTTACCTCTGGTGTGACTGTTAGTGAAGCAGAGAGGAGCCTGCTCGGGGCTGTGGGAAGTGTCTGTAGATCTCTGGCAACTTGTCCGAGTCTGTGACCGAGTTGTGGGAACAATTGAAGTAGGTTGAGGGGAAAAAATAACAAAAGTTTCAGAGGCAGGACTCCCGGTGTCATTCAGCAGCTCACAAATTGTGATTGGTCCCATTTCTGCCTTCTGACACAGGCAGTTGCTCCTCTAAACTTGTTCACAGCAGTAATATATTAAACATGGGCAACATCTTTCCTCTGGTGAAGGGAACTGTGTGCCAGGGAGACCACCTGCGCAGCCACAGCATGGAGGAATCTGGGAAGCAGCTCTCTTCAGTGGGGTGGGAAGGGAGCTGCTTGCTTACACCCTGACTTTTCGTAAACAAGAACTTAAATGGGAATTTGTTCAGGGATCTGCTTTTTGGATGTGTTACTGTTGCTACAGCTATGTTTATTCATCATAAAAAACCTAAGTCTCTTGTGGGGGCGATCACATTTCACATGAGCTTTAGACTTGGAATGATTTTCTTTTGTACAGGCGATTTCTTAAACTACACTTTCAGCATGTATAGTTTTGAAAATTCTGTTACACTGTAAACCGAATACCCGCTGTGTATGGTGTGTGCTGGCCAATATCATCTTTCTTCTGACAATGCTTGAACTGAAGTAATTTTTCCGTATTTCAAGCCTGTACCAACCTTTCAAGTTAATTTATGGGGTAGAGGAATTATTTTTTTCCCAAGTAAAACCCAACATATATAAGTTAATCTTTGATATTTATCATTCCTATATACTTTGAAGTATTTATCTTTCCTTTAAAAAACACGCACACCCTTTTTCTCCCCCTCCCTCTTTTTGTGGCTGGAAACTATCCAAGTGATTTTTGAGGACCCCTTCTGGGTGTTTGGGTGGGAGTAGCACCTGGATGCTGCTTTGCAGGTTATCTTACGTGTATCATCCTGTGTTGGGAAATGACAACTGAGACCACAGTGCTTATATGGAGTAGGTTTTGTGCATCCGGGAAGTGGAGGATTTACTGGATGTGAAAGGACTGAACTGTTGAGCGTGTGAGCATCCAGCATCAGGCTTCCTACGTGGATGCTCCTGACACACGTGCCTTTGCCCAATTTGGAAATTGTAGGCAAAAATGCAGAAGCTCAGCCTAACTCTGAACACTTAGAGATGCAGTTCTGACAGCAATTTTTTAGCATAGATTAGTGCTTGGCTTTGAGCAGGAAACCAGACATGGTGGGGGGGTTTGTTTAGTTTGGTTTTTTCATCCCCTATAAGCCCTGCTGTGACACATGCTGCAAACAAAAAAAAAATACCTTGGAGGTGATGTGCCACCTTGTTTCAAACTGAGCTCTGTTGTTATTTTTGTAAATAAGGTTTAGATCTCCTGCAAAGTTGGTTATAACGTAGTTGAAGTTAGAAACTCAGTTCTAATATAATAAATCTACCCGCTTTGTGTTATCCTTTAATATCAAACCCAGGAAATTTAGGGTCACATACATCAGTTAAAGCTAATTGAATATCTCCACAGTGAGGAGTGATAGTTCTTTACCAGTGCAAAGGGTTTCATAATTTACTTACAATGGCATTATTAACATTATAAATCTATTGCAGTCAAGCAAACTGTGTTTGGCCTTTTTATGAGGGAAGTTTCATGGTTTTATTACATGTTGTCATCCAGCAAAAGTACTGCTGTCATTGCATTGCTTGCTTTTTGTAAGATGTAATGTGGAACTTTTACTATTGAAATTCACCTCTGTACCTTGTTATTAAAATCCCACACCCAGCACCTCAGCTGTTGTGATGCGAGTTCCTCCCTTTTACCAAGTCACTGCAAAATGCTCGTGTTATTTAGTTACTCTGCCCCAAATTCTCTGCTTTTATTGTTAGTGAATTGGATCTAAAAATCATTTAGGAGCTTTTCAGAAACGAGATGTCTTAAAAGAATGCTGATTTTGTTTGTGAGCTACTGACGCAGTCATAACTTAGTTGTGTGTTTAATGAATGATACTTAAATAAGCAAGGCATTAATAAAAACAGTGGTATCTCATCAGAAATATAATGCATGCTTTCTACGTATGTCTAACTCAAGAAATTTTAAGCTGGAAAATCTATTTATTAAATAGCAATGCTGTCCACAAAATCAGACCATGTGGATGTTGTTTTATTAATGCTGTTTCTCTGACAACAAGCTTGTTTGGGTACCCTCTCTTGAGAACATTTTTCTAGTTCAGTTTAGTATCACTCCCTTGTGTAATCACAGGGATTTTGGTGGGATTCTGAGGCAGATGCCCAAGTGCTGCTTGTGGGACATGTCAGTCTGACAAGTACAGGCAGTATATATGGGTGTATCGTTGTACTGTTTGATTTGCCCCTGGGTGAACGGGTCCAGACACCCATGGATATCAGAAAGGAAAAGCTTTAAAAAAGGAATCTGTGTTGGAGGTTCTGGTCTGCTTTATTTTGTTCTGGGGAACAAAAATGTGCAGCTGTTGCTTGCTTGACCTTAAATGGAGATGATCTGGGCTTTCTCCAGTGGGATTAGAAATCTGCCACCAGAGCATGTTTCTTCTCATAAATTTATTTAGAGATCCGGTTGATGTTTGGGATAATGTCCAAAAAGAGACATGTTATACTTCAATGTACCAGCTCCTTTGTTTGAATAATAAAAAGACTTTTACTCACATTGACAATGATTTCCTGGACTATTTTTGCCTTTCATGTGCTGGCCACCTGTAAAATCTGTGTAAAGAGTTTGAAATGTCAGTATCTGCTCTGTTAATAATCCACGACTCGGCATAGAAATGAACCGCTCTCCAAGCCCAATTATTTATAATATACAAGTAAAGAAATTCAGGAGTACGTCTGAGTACTCAGGTTAGTGCATTATTTCAAGGTGCTGCTGCAGTTTTCTTTCATACTGCCAGTTTGCCTCTCTGATACCTCACTGCTAAGGTTCTTGCGTTGCACATGTTTGGTTTAAAAGTGACTAAAAACGAGGAGAAGGGAGAAGTGGATGCTCCCACGGATGTGCACTGGTTTGTGTGTGTAGGTGGAACAGAATAGCTTTGGTATCGAAGCTGAACACTAAAATGAGGTCTTTCCTTTTAGTAACCATTTTTTTCTGGCCTGATTCTGATATATCCTGCAACACGTGTAATTGCTTGTAGCCATCCAGGTATCAGCAAATGTGGCTTACGAGACACTTTTTGCTGATCTGTGCTAAGGGAAAGGACCCAGCTAATGTATCCTTCAATTACAGTTGTACTGCAGGTCTAGCATAACCTAAAGGGAGATGGGAGTTTTTTCCTTACTCCTAAAAATACAGGAAAAGCAATATTTTCAGCTGGTGTGAACAACATTCCAGATTTACACCAGGTAAGGAGATAGCCTAATCAAATTGGGGACAGTAAGTTTTTTTTAAGACTTTGAGGTTTTTTGTTTGATTTTGATACATTTATGACCCACGTGTTTGTATATTTTACTTCATGCCTCCTTGAACGCTTATCTGGACTTCAGCGATTCTCCCTCACATCTGGAATCTCAATGTTTTTTGGATCTATGTGAACAAAGTTGCATTTCGGAGGCTGCAGGTTTTCCTGCTTTTATAGTCAGACTCACAGTCTCTGTTTAGCGTTGTAGGAGGCAGCTCTGCTGAGAAATTTAGGCTTTGTGTCGTGTTACTCTCCCCTGGGACAAGAAATATTTACTTTTCCTAAGCATTGGACAGTCATTAAATTAGTTTGATCTTCACATTTTGTTCTTAATTATAAACAAGGTGAACTTTCTTTTTGAAGCTGTAACTTGTGAAGCGTACCATTGCAAAGTGATTTAAAAAAACATACAAAATAAATTAATAGAAAACTATACAACTTGGGCTGAAATATTTCTCATTTTGGGAATGCTGAAGGCTCTGGCAGGACTAGTCATCTGATTTGTTACTAACCAAAGACGTTTTTGGAAAGGTCAGCTTGAATGTTTTTATTTCAGTCGCTGTTACTGGCATGAACTTTTAACCATTAAAGTAGATCACAGGGCTCAGAAGTGTAACGCCTGTTTATTGTCTTCAATGCTTTGACCCAATGTTAGGAGAGAAGTAGGGGAACTGAAATTTTGCCTGGCTCTTGCTCTGAAAATCCAGTGTCCTTCCTCTTCCATACCCCCATAGGGAGCACTGATTTCACTTGGAGGCAACACAGTTAGCACAGGCTTGACTCATGTAGCTTTTTAATTTTGCAATAAAATATTGACAGCACAAAAAGCCATGCTCTTTCAAATACCTGGGTTGCTTTCTTATCAGTGAAGTGTACTTTTTTTACTAGATTAAGGTCAAATAATTGAATAGTAGCAATTATTTGCAGTGATGCAAAGTGTCTTCAAAATAGCAACGTGATACAGAATAGGAAGTTTGGAAGTTTGGTGATCTTCATTCCAGTGGAAGGTTTTTTTATTTCTATAAAATGCCTGGGAGGACTGTGTTTAGGTGTTTACTGGTGTCCTCAATTGGTTAAGCTGAACAATGTGCTTTAGGTGGTGTGCTGAGATCCTTATACCTAAGAAACTGTGCTGAGTGTCTTTGAGATAAACTGTTCTAGGAAGCACAGAGATTAGTTGTGTTATTTGACATGTTATGAGTGATGGATGAACGGCGGGACAAAGGCATATGAAGGAGAGATAAAGTTGGAAGACCACGTTCCAGTTGCCAAGTGGTGGTGCTGGATTATCTCTGCTTAAACAGTAACTGCAGAATGGAGGAGAAAAGATTGGGGTTTAGATTTAGCTGCTGCCTATCTTCAGCTGAAGGTTGTTCTAACAGAAATGCATAAACATTGCCCAAACGTTGAAGGCATTGGCAGCATTTGGATTCTCCTGTGCAGAGTGACTACCTTCTTGTAATGTGGAGCTGGAGCTTGTAGACCAGTGGCTTCAGCATCTTGCTGTGATGTTCTTGCTGGGAGCTTCATTCAGATCACCATGGAGATCATGCAGATCAGACTTTTAAAGGGTCTTCAGACTAAGTTTTAGTTGGTCCTACTTTGACATGTACATATGGGAAAGGTGAACCAGAAGCATGTTTCTTTCTCTTGGTTGATGCTAAGAACAGCGTTTTTCTTTACTCATTTCTTCTGCCCATTGCCCTACCTTTTCTTTTTCATGTGGGAGG